CCGGTTATTGGGATTGCTGTTGGGATACTGCTGTGTTATTTTTCCTGCTGGAAACCTTGCCTGTGGATTTACAATTTACTTGTTCCTGAGCCTCACTTGGATTACAAGTGGAGATAACCTGGGGAATATTGCATCTCCGCTACATACATGTTGCCATTGTAGCTCCCCAGTGCCGGCAGCATTCATGCAGGCCCAGATAATGACACTCCCACCACCATGTTTGACTGTAGGCAAGACACACTTGTCTTTGTACTCCTCAACTGGTTGCTGTCTCATATGCTTGACACCATCTGAACCTATTAAATGTTAAGTTTTATGATAGGGTAATGCACAATTTAGTATTCCATTCACATTAGCCAGATGTTGCATCCTCCAACTTTCCTTTCTTTTATGTACATTTAACCAACAGGGGTTATCCCCAAACTAGGAGGTTTTGCAACCATAGGCTCCAGTTCTTTTCCCATGCTTTTCTTTTCTTTCTTGTGAATATTTACCCCAGCATAACAAATATGATATGATCTGACTTCAGAACCCCAATATGGCATTACTTTCTCTTAATAGAAGCTTTATTAGTATTTCTATTTTCATATTACATGGATTTTTAGGGTTCCTTTAATTTTCTACAACACTAAAACATAAATATACCAAAGTGCTGTACCCAAAAGAGCAGATAAGGTGGCTGTAACACCCCCCCCCTCCCCCCCACTTAATGCTTGTTTTAAAAAAAAAATGTATTTGCATGGTAAGAACTAATTGTTAAGTAAGCATTATAAAAAAACTTTACTGGCCGGAGATGCTATAGGAAGAGTAAATCGCATTATGCTTTATGTAATCAGCTACATAAATGTTTTAAAAATATATATATATATAAAACTCATAACTTAGAAGGACATTTTTAAAACATAAATATATAATAAAATACAAAAATTTACATAACATAAAATGATATTAACAAAGGTAAAATTATGTGTTCTGTTACATGTATCTATTAATTTTATATAACATTTTATATAAATTAAGGTAGGGTGATATGGTTATTTATTTGTTTTTAGCAATTTTAAAATACTTCAATCTACGGGAAAATCTGATGGGGCAAAGAAAGACAGAATGCAGTAGTTTTTGATGTCATGTGACAGTAAGGGTAGATAAAGGTTATTGGTAGGACAGATGAACCAAAATGTATTAAACATATTAATTAGGACTAATTTGGTATTACGTTTACAGTTGTAAAGAGTTTTTCAGTTGAAAAAAAGTAATTCTAAATGAATTCTCACCAATTCCAAGGTAAGGATTGGCAGACGTAAGGTTTGAGAAGAGTAGCAGATATTAAAAATGAGCCTGGCATTAGCATTAACTGCAGACTTTTAAATATTAATCTTATATTATCTCCCTGGTTTTTATACAAAATTAATAAAATTACTATGATTCATTTATGTTGTTAATGTCTTGCCCATGAAATTGATACATGCTGGGAAATCAATCTACTTATTTTTGCTTACCCCTTATTGATCAAACAACAGGTGATAAAATGTAACATTTCATCTAAATGGGAAAAAGCAAGCCTTGGCATTTTTATTTATATACCTTCTAATGTTACTCAATGCACCAGCATAATACCAATACATTGATATAAGTTGTAATATATTTATAAACCTGTTGTAATAAATCTTGGATAATCTTTAAAATGTATTAATCCTGTTGTACATTAAAATAAATTATCTCTTAAAAGATCACTCCAAGCACCATAACAACCTTAAGCACTTCTTACCTGAGGTGATCACTTTCCACCAATGACATAAACCTGCACCACCAGGCTTAGCACAGAATAAGAGCTTTTGGCACTTCTGGCTGAGGTAGTGGAGACAGGGAGAGGCACCTGTTCTGATACAGTTTGAATTATTAAAGTGAAGGGTGCCATGGCATTCCTGACACCCTAACCTTTACAACAGGCTGTAGTAGTTATGGTGCATGAAGTGTTGTTTAAAATGTTATCAATAATATGACTTTGCTATGTTGGATTGCCTTCATAAAAAACATATAAAGCATTAAATAATTTAGTTCCTATAGGTTGGGTTAATGTTGAAGGCCTTTTCTTGTTCATTCAAGTCAATTAGTCTGTTTCCTTATAATTTTATGAAATTGGTCATATTTAGACTGTATATCACTTTATAAAAGATTTGGTAAGAGTTTGAAGAGTATATAGAAGCTGGCTACTACGTTCCTTGTGATAATAATCGCACATATATCTTATACCATTGGTGATACATGTTTTTTAAGCTTAACATTTTATATTCTCTATGACACTATTTATTTATTTATTTATAAAATATTTTACCAGGAAAGATACATTGATATTTCTCTCGTTTTCAAGTATGTCCTGGGTCCACAAATCATTGCATTGTTACAATTAGAGTACAATAAAATACAAAAACAATATTAATACACAATAAATACAAAATTTAACATAAAACAGGCAGGAAATATATAATCAACCATGACAGGTGCATTCTGTTTTGAGGTATCTAGAGAGGGATCTCTTAAAGGACTTAGGCTTAGGGAAGATTTTAAATTGTGCGGGAGGTCGTTCCACAATTGCGGTGCTCTGTAGGAGAAGGAGGATCGGTTGCTTTCTTTTTGTATTGAGGTAGACTAAGTAAAGTGTTGGTACTGGATCGGAGGTTATAGGAAGTGGGAACAGCTGAGGAAAGCATTGTGTTCAGGTAGGGTTGGAGTTTCCCAGAAAATCTCTTAAACACAAGGCTAGAAAAACCATGGCCTTATGGGGGTGGGAGAGTTGGGGGGAGGGTAATGTCGGTTTGATTAGTTCCAAGGATTTCCCCTACACTGGATCCCTGGGATTATGTTAATGATCAGAGGAGTAAGAGGTTAGGATTAAGTTAGTGGTTATGGTCATTAACTATACTACTAGGTTAAAATTAAAACTGGCGTTTACGGTAAAGGCAGCAGACCTTAGAGGTTACTGATTGAGGTTGGGAAATATATTAGTATGGTTAAGGCTAGACCTTAGGACAAAGCTAAAAATGCAGGGTATGAGGTTAGAGATTAAAGTAAGACTAGATGTTATAGTGTAATGAGCAAATGCAAAAATTTAAAGTTTTAGAATGAAAAATTGTATTTCTTAAACTGTGTACTTTGTCTTCAAGAGATTTTGCAAATTAACAAGTTGTTAGAAATGGAACATATTGTTTTTCATACAATGGTTCTTTAATAAATGTCCTCTTGCGTCATCTTGCCCTAGGTTAGTGTAATTCCCCATGTCATGGAATTTCCCATATCATATGCACCATTACATTTTAGTCTAAACATAGATAAGATGTTCCCATGTGAAATGTCCAAGTTATGGCCTTGTATCTTGGCCAAGTTATGGTAGGTCCTAAAATGACCTAATTGAAAATCTAAGGTATAAATATGTGTACTTATTCATATTAGGACACAGAGGAGAGATTTTGGAGACAGAGACACTATTCCATTTTATCATGACTGAGAGAGAGGTTGACATGTTCAGGATGGCATGTTATTTTATTTTACTGATATTGCAAGCATATATTTTAATCTTATAAACACTGCTATAAATTATTGTAATTGATTATTAAGGTTTTATATGTCTACATTTATATTTTTATTTAATAAAATATGTAAAAAGACAAAACTTTATTGCTTCCAAGACAATCCCTATTCTATATTGTATTCTCAATTTTATATATATATATATATATATATATATATATATTTTTTTTTTTAATTCTTTATTTTCTTTGTGCAGGTAGTATACATTTGTTAATGCTACAACAGCATATTTTAAAGCTGTAAACACAATGGTTGTACAATATTGGAATAAGAGTATCGGCACATTTTTAAGTGTTATGTTCTAGGCAAGTTGTGCTATTAGCGGTGTCTTTCTTGGTAGGTTGTTTGTAGTAGTCAGCCTATATAGCAGTGCTTCCTACATAAGATAACAAGGTGGTTAGTGCTGAAAAGGAGCAACTATACACGCGTGTTAATATGTGGGATTAGACCTTGGTCCGGTTAGCTTGTGTGTGTTAAGTAATCAAGATTTCTGACCTGCTTAAGGTTAGTTTAGGTTCAAAAGGTAGTGGTAATCTGGGGCATCTACAGCTAGCAATATATCGTTGATGCTTTTTGTGTATTTACGGCAGTAAGGCTCAGGAAAATGCCGCCTGGGGGTCATGTGGATTATGCGTCCAACCCAGAAGTAAAAAAGGGCTGGTAAAGCTGAGACCTATGCAAAAAACAAAATTAGTTAAACTTAGGCTTATTGAAGGTGAACTCAAAACTCAGAACATGGGGTTAAACATATCTTTTGGACAGTCCGCTTGGTTGATGTTGCGCCAGGCAGGTGGTGTCAGTCAGCTGGTGGTTTAGCCTTTTGTGTCTGGCCTCCTTTTCAGCGATCAGCCAATCTCTGTCGGCTGCAAGGTAGGCATTGGTTGGTTGGAAAGTACGCAGCCCTGTTCATGTGGTGGCTGTAGCGTATGTGCCTGCGGGTGTCTTCCTGGGTACGAACTCCGGAGCGTTTATGGTGTGCCTGTCTAGCGGGTGGCTACGGCCTGCGAGGTGCATTGCCTGAGTCTGTGAGTCTGTGGGGATGTTCAGAAGCCCCATCACCACTGCGGCCTCTTTGGGATTGTGAACCATGTGTTTGGTATCTCCTCTGCTGATGTTGAGGACGTGGTTTGAGCCCCAGCGGTATTGGATTTGGTAGAGGCGCAGGAGGGCTGTAAATGTACTCAGGGATCTCTTCCACGCCAGTGTTCTGGCCGACAGGTCCATATAGAAAGAAAGGGACATCCCCTCAAAGGGCTAAGAGGGCTGTCCTTTTGTGGCCTCAAGGACCATCTTCTTTTCTCTGGCTGAATGGAATTTTAGTATTAAGACCCCTGTGGCAGCCTGAGGTGGCTTTGCTGGTCATGGTAGACGAAATAGGTCCTCCAGGGTGATCGCTTTAGCTGCCTTTGGTGTCAGTAGTTCCGTGAGGAGTTGCCTGACAAAATGCGGTAGTTCAGCCTCCGGTATGGAGTCTGCAACTCATCTGAGCTTGAGATTGTTTTGTCGGTGCCTGTCTTCATTTGAATTTCTTGCTGCAGGGTTTTTTGCTGCAGGTCCTTGATCGCTACTTGCAGATCCATGATTTGGTTGGTGTTGCTGTCGGAGGAGGCCTCCACCTTTCCCAGCCTGTCTGTAATGCCCTTGATTTCATCCCTAATTAGGGTCATGTCAGCCGCTGTCTTCTTATGGTGAGTCGTCATTAGGTCTCCGATTGCTTCCATGGTCACAGGGGTGGGGGCCTTTGTGTGTGGTGGTCCCTTTGGTTGGGAATGGGTCAGCGTGGCCAATGTTGAGTCTCCCCCATCATTGTCCGACGACCACTCTGTGAAGTCCGAGCATCCGCCGTGCGAGGACTCCATCTTGGCGCCTCCTGCCTCGTGCGCCTTCCGCCATAGTTCCCCGATATCCATGCCCTGTCGGGGCTTGTCAGGCTTCACTTTTTTGTTTTTCCGCCCCATTCAGCTCTCCCGGTTCTCTGTGCTGTCTCTGGGTAAATTTTTGTGTGGGTTTTGCTGTTGACAATGTCGTTTTTGCTGCAGTTTGTCCCGGAGCTCCGCTGCCATGCGACTGCTCGCTTCAGATGTCTATCAATTTTTTATATATTTTAAATAGAGGAACTCTTACTAACTATTAGAGTTGAACGAACCCGAACTGAAAAGGTTTGTACCAAACATTAAGTTTTTTGGACCCCGGACCTGAACACGGACATATCACTGTATGTTCGGGTTGGAGTTCGGTGTTCGGCAATTTAATGAAGCGTTTTGAAAGGCTGCAGGGCAGCTAATCAACAAGCGTTTCACTTGTGTGCCCTTAGAAGCCATCACAGCCATGCCTACTAATGGCATGGTTGTGCTTGGCCAGTGCAGCATGTGACCCAGCTAGTAGGGGCATGTTTATTAAAAAATTCCTCCCTCCCGAGCCCCCACCCGCAACGCGCAAGTAGGGGTTTTTATACTAAAGGGGGACCTATTGCCCCCCTCAGCCCCCACCCCTGAGCGGCGGGTGGGGGCCCTAAATACCAATAAGAGAGGGGCCTACTGTCCTCCCCCCCGGCCCCCACCCCTGAGTGGTGGGTGGGGGCCCTAAATATCAATAAGGGGGGACCTACTGTCCTCCCCCTGGCCCCCACCCCTGAGTGGTGGGTGGGGCCCTAAATAACAATAGGGGGGACCTATTGTCCTCCCCCCATGCCCCCACCCCTGAGCGGTGGGTGGGGGCCATAAATAAAAATTGAGTAGGGGACCTAATATCCTCCCCCCAGCCCCCACCCTGAGCGGTGGGTGGGGGCCATAAATAAAAATTGGGGGGGAGATCTAATGTCCTCCCCCCACCCCCCACCCCTGTGTGGCTGGTGCGGGTCCTAAATAACAATAAGGGGGGTGGACCATAAATAAAAATCCCCCCAAGTGACTAGGGGTCCCTAAACTCCTAGTCACCCCCCCAAAAAAAAAATTACCTCTACCTACCCCCCTCACCCTAAAAATAATGAGCGGGGACCATTAGCTAAGTACCTGTAAAAAATAAAAATTACCATTTGATGTTTCTTCTAAAATCTTATTTTTTCAGCCCCAAAAAAGGCCAAATAAAAAAACAGAATAACCAAGCGAAAAAAATAAATAAAAAAATCCTTCTTAACCCATGGAGGGCTCTGTGCAGACTGAGCTCTGCAGGGCGGGGCAAGGCTTTAATTAGGCAATTAGGCTCAGAGCACTCTGATTGGTGGGTTTAAGCCATCCAATCAGAGTGCTCTGACAGGTAAATAAAAAGACTGACAGGTAAGTCTCTACAGTTACCTGTCACAGCACTCTGATTGGTTGGCTTGAAATCCACCAATCAGAGTGCTCTGTGTCATTTTACACAGCATGGGAAAATTCCAAATAACTTTCCCACGTTGTGTAAAATGACACAGAGCACTCTGATTGGTGGATTAAATAACCAATCTGAGTGTTATGAGTCCAATTACACAGCGTGTGAAAATTCCAAAGAACTTTCCCACGCTGTGTAAAAGGACATAGAGCACTCTCATTGGCAGGATTTCAAGCTAACCAATCAGTGTGCTCTGTGTTATTTTACATAGCGTGGGAAAGTTCTTTGGAATTTTCCCACCCTGTGTAAAATGACACAGAGCACTCTGATTGGTGGATTAAGTAAGTCTCTACAGTTACCTGTCACAGCACTCTGATTGGTTGGCTTGAAATCCACCAATCAGAGTGCTCTGTGTCATTTTACACAGCATGGGAAAATTCCAAATAACTTTCCCACGTTGTGTAAAATGACACAGAGCACTCTGATTGGTGGATTAAATAACCAATCAGAGTGTTATAAATCAAATTACACAGCGTGGGAAAATTCCAAAGAACTTTCCCATGCTGTGTAAAATGACATAGAGCACTCTGATTGGTGGATTTCAAGCCAACCAATCAGAGTGCTGTGACAGGTAAATGTAGAGACTTTTCTGTCAGTCTCTTCATTTACCTGTTAGAGCACTCTGATTGGATGGCTTAAACCCCCCAATCAGAGTGCCCTGAGCCTAATTGCAGGGTGGGGCAAGGCTTTATAAGCCTTCCCTTCGCCCTGCAGAGCTCAGTCTGCGCCGAGCCCTCCATGGGTGAAGAAGGATTTTTATTTATTTTTTTATTTTAATTTTTTTAAGTGTGTCGGTTATTCTGGATTTTTATTTGGCCTTTTTGGGGGGCTGGAAAAAGAAGATATAAGAAGAAAGAAGACATCAAATGGTAAGTCTATTTTTTTAACAGGTATTTAGACAAGGGTCCCCCCTCATTATTTTTAGGATGAGGGGGGTAGGTAGGGATATTTTTTTGGGGGGGAAGGGGTGACTAGGGGTTTGGGGACCCCTAGTCACCTGGGGGGGATTTTTATTTATGGCCCCCACCCACCGCTCAGGGGTGGGGGCCTGGGGGAGTACAGTAGGTCCCCTCTTATTGTTATTTAGGGTCCCCACCCACCGTGCAGGGGTGGGGGCAATAGGTTTTTTGTTTTTTTTACTAGACACACCTCTAATCGCGTTATAGCGAGTAGGAGCTGAATTTACTAATACTAAGTAATCTTTACTTAGTATTAGTAAATGTGGCTGAACGACCAATTTAGGTGACCAATTTAGGTCTTTCAGCCTTTTGGTAGATAGCTCCCTAATACCATGTTATTTTTAAGTGATTTCCCTATCCACATTTGTTTGCAGGGCACTTGTCCTACTCTTACCCCTATTTTACTTCCTTTTGCAGCTCTCTTGCCCTTTCCAGGAGATTTTTTAGAGCCATTTTTGTGCCCAAAAGTTTGGGTCCCCATTGACTTTAATGGGGTTTGGGTTCGGGGGCAAGGTAGAGCCCAAACTCTGACTTTCAAAGTTTAGCTGAACCCGCCAGACCAGAACATCCAGGTGTCCGCTCAACTCTACTAACTATATAATATTATGGCTAACATATCTGTATGGTTAGCCCCGCTAAATTCTATGCTTTCAAAAGTTATAGTGGTAAATAGGGGAACCGGCTGCGGTTACAATTGGCACCCAGTGTGAGGCTTGTACTTTGGAAGCTTTAACAATAAAATAATATAAATACCTAGGTAACCTCTTATACGTAAGAGAAGACACAATACTTTGTCAGGGCACGAGTCTTGAAATATCAAGAATGTAATGAGCTATTAGTAGCCCAGACACAGAGAGAGATCTTCATTATGGAGAGGTGATTTTATGGGAACGTGTACAAAGCACGTGGAGTTCAGGTGCTAGGTACATTGTAATTAGCATACAATGCAGAAATTGTGGATTTTAATTAATATGACAAGAGAGACATATATACATATTTGGTAAACTCCCTAATATGCCAAATATACCGGCACAGCATGGTCCATTAGTTCTAGGACAGTGGGTTGTAGGCAGGGAGGTCATGTTCTTTCTGTAGCTGCATAGTTTGCATGTGCAGAAAGAGAGATTAATGCAAGATATTGTTGTCATGAGAAAAATTATAAGATAAGCGATGAAAGCATTGCTTGCTAGTATATTGCTAGTAGATTTCAAAGTCTAATTCCAAGAATGCAAAGAAGGGTTTATCACCCCAAATGCAACAGAAAGGATTTTAATTATTGAAAAGTTTTATAAAACAGTGATAATTTCAATATTGTCAGTTACATTTGCAGTTAATAAAAAGTCAGGAATTTTAAAAGCATACTGCACTTAACAAAATTATAAATGCAACACTTTTGTTTTTGCCCCTATTTTTCATGAGCTGAACTCAAAGATCTAAGACTTTTTCTATGTACACAAAAGGCACATTTCTCTCAAATATTGTTCACAAATCTGTTTATTTTAGTTGTCGCATCATACCATCTTATACTTCTCCCCTATTCCTGATTTTTAGCATGGTTAGTTTGGTTATTCCTATACCCCACAAATACAGGAATAAGGGAACGTACAATAGAATAAAAAGATAAAACTTTTTTGCAGAGATGAAAGCTTTGATGAAGGTGAGAAGGAGAGGGGCCTTGGGAGAAGAAAACAACATATAAAAAGATACTACACTAAAACCAAAAAAGCACTAGCCTAAAGGGTATACAATCTCCAGAAAGAAAATAAATACATTTAAAAAATAATGGCTACTAAAAAAACACAAAAACGGCAAACACCTAAAAAAGGAAGAAAAAGCCTGAAAATAAAACAGAAAAACATCTTTCTTGCTTCTCACCAAACCCACCAGGTAATAAATCAAACCTGGAGGAATCTATTCTCTCAAATATCCCATCAGAGGGAGCCACTAATAAAGGACAAACAGAGGAAAACCAAGAGGCAAGAGAAGGAAGAAAAGAATAAAACCACCTACTTACACACTTAGATCCACAATTTGGAAAATTAAGAGAAGAAATCCAAGCTAATACTCTTGACATTAAGAAGGAACTACTGACTCTTAATAAATGATTCCAAGGAATAGAAGAAAAACTAGACGGACTGGAACACAAGGAAAAAGTCCACAAAGAAGAACATAAGGTGCTGGAAAAAAAGATGGCTGACATGGAATACAAATTGATAGACCTAGAGTCAAGATGGAACAATTTAAGAATCAGAGGAGTATCAGAACAAATATATCCTAAAAATCTGGAGACATACATAGAAGATTTTTTTAAACATCTGAAAGTGGAATGGGACCCCAGAATCCCTATGATGAAAAGGTGGGTATCTTGGCACTCACTCTTTCCAGATAACAATACATTTTCTGCCTGGGTGCAAGGATATATAAACAAAATAAAGAGATGCACTCTCAGGGCTTGTAAAGTGAAAAAAGAGGATTTATTCCAATAGGTGTTTATATTAAAAAAATGATGTTTCGGTGCGTGGCCTAACGCCGGAGCTGAGCGGTCGCATGTAAGCACGGCTCCCGGTGTTAAAACTGAACCGGGCGAAAAATAACCGGTAAGACTAGCAAGAACCTCCAGGTCTCCAGGAGATACCACACAACATGTCCCAGTGCCCCAAAAATAAAGCTTGGAAGGCAGAGCGTGCCTCCTTCTTTGGAACGAGGCTCGCAGCAACTAAGCAGCGTGAGGAAGGGGAGCCTGCACAAGATGGCGGCGACCTGAAGCCGCGGGAAAATTCCCCCCCTAACACAGCATCCCCCGCACGAAGCATGGATGACCAGCCACTAACGTTAGGCGGAATAAGGGCCTTAATGTCAGAATTCTCTGACACTATTCAGCAAAATATGCAGCAGCAACTACAAACCCTGACAGCAGACCTGCAGAGAGAGCTGCAGGAGATAGGAAACCGTACAGTTCAAATGGAGTCTAAAATGGAAGAATATGTAGAGGTACATAATAGCCTGGCTGAAAAGCTGCAGGAATTTGATGATATACTGGAATCCCACAGGCTCAAATTAGCTGACATGGAAGATAGGGCGAGGAGGAATAATCTGCGGTTCAGAGGAATACCCGAAACGGTTCCCAACGCCGAACTGCAACACTATCTATCAAAAATGTTCCAAAGCCTTGTACCAGAACTACACCCGGATCAACTGATAATTGATAGAGCACACAGGCTGCGCAGACCGAAACACCTACCACAAACGGCAGAGAGAGATGTGATTGCTAGAATAGACTTCTTTCATGCAAAAGATCGAATCTTGCGAGCTAGTAGGAGTTCGGGTATGCCGCCTGAGTACAGTTCCCTCAAAATCTTTGCAGACCTATCAGCGGACACTCTCCAATTCTGAAAATCAATGGCGCCGATTACTTCAATTGTGCGGGAGCACAACATGGTCTACAAATGGGGATTCCCCGCCAAACTTCTGATCTCCCACCAAGACGCACTACATTCCATCACAACTCTGAAACAGTGCGTTCAGAAACTGGGCGATTGGGGGCTCCCTCAACCGGCACCAGAACAGATGAAATCAAGGAGAGTACCTAGGAGGTCGCCAGAATGGACTGTCAAATGAAAGACTGTTGCTTTCCTGGAGCATACGTAACTATATATTAGTTCTGACCGAATTTCAATGCTAAATCTCTCTGTTGTATAGTTATAATTTCATCCCTCCTTGGCCGTACTGCAAATGGTTAAATGTTGGGTGCATGCCATAGTACACCTATCAATAGCATGAATTGCTGGCTAGAATGTGACACTGCCCAATGAGCTTCTAGCCCCTACCTCACGGGGATATAGGCACGTTGGTTGGCTAACTTAGGCACACACATGAAACAAAGCGAGGCTAACCCAGGGAATTGTTAAACCGCTTATATATTCGAGACCTGTCAGTTTGTTCTTCATTACAACTGCCCTTTGGTTTCACGATGATGTCCACTATGAGTGACGACCTCATCACCACTACCCCCACTGGACAAGCCTATGGAGTAGGCAAAGCCTTAAGGCTCCACTACTTGGAGCCGAGTTGGGTGTCTTACCCACCAGTTCTCCCTCTCATAGTTTACTCCTCCCAATGCCCTGGCCTATTCTCCCTCAGTCACAAGTCTAACTGTAGATACAGCAGTAATCAAGGGATGCTGGCGTGTAGTGATAACACATCAGCGGTTGCAGCAACCCGCCTTGACCCTTATAGCATATCCTTTATATCTCTACAACCATGGTTAGGATACTAACGCACAATGTGAAGGGTCTAAACTCCCCTGGTAAACGTAGGCTGTTATCGCAGGAACTTAAAAAAGAGGGGGTAGACATTGCCTGTATTCAGGAAATGCACTTTACTAAGAACCGATCCCCTGCACTCTTCACTAAACTCTATACAACACAGTACCATGCACTTTCTGACAACAAAACTAAAGGAGTCTCTATTCTCATTCATAAGGACATGGCGTTTCAAGAACAAGCAATTTCGGTAGACCCCTAAGGCAGATACATAATTCTAGTAGGCCTCTTCGGTAATGTCCAGTATACCTTGACCTCTGTATATTTCCCCAATACGGGCTCATAAAAATTCTTAAAATTCATACTCAAAGAGATAGACAAGATAAGACAGGGGGGACTGGTGATATGCGGGGATTTTAACTTTATAATATCTCCAGACATGGACTCAACCGCACTTCCAAGAGGTGCTAGGCAAGCGAGTATAACATCTACGGGTAATAGGCTGTCCAAAATACTGGCACTTCATAACCTATTCGATAGCTGGAGAGTCTTCCACCAAAACGAACGTGATTATTCCTTCCACTCCAAAGCACACAATACCTACACCCGCATAGACACCTTCTATGTGGATCAGTCCACCTTAGCACAGGTAGCCAAATGTACTATCGGAGACATCACTTGGTCCGATCATGGACCGGTGACCTTAGATCTTTATGACAAATTCCAGTTCAAATGTAGAGGGAACTGGAGACTAAATGAATCTTTACTACAGGACAGTAACTTCGTGGATCAGATAGGGGTCGAACTTAAAAACTATTTTCAAATAAACTCTAATGGGGACACCTCGGTCCTGAATACCTGGTCGGCACATAATCCGGGGCTTATTTCTTAGACAGTCCTCGTATCTTAAAAAACACAGACAAGCAACCATTTTAGCCTGCCAAATCCAATTAACAGCTTTAACTGCACTAAATAAACGCACTCCCTCACGAAGCCTAGCACGGCAAATCCAAGCTCAAACGGACAAACTTACCGAACTAAACGCGGCCAAAACTTCATACCTCCTACACAAATTGAAAGCGACCCACTATCACCACAGTGGGAAGGCTACCAGGCATTTGGCTACCAGATTGAAAGCTAAACTAGCGGCTACGAAAATAGTATACATACAGGGCCCAGACGGTAGCAAAATACAAAACCCACTAGATATAACTCAAGAGTTTGCACGATACTACTCAAATTTGTACAACTTGGGTGACAGGCCAGATACCCCTAACATACAAGATAGGAATATTGAGGAATACTTGTCCCGACTCCCCATTCCTAAAATAACCCAGAACCAGAGGGAATTACTACTTCAACCCATTACCTTAACGGAAGTCCTTCACACGATAAAAAACCTGCCCTCCGGAAAATCTCCAGGGGCAGACGGCCTACCCAACCTATATTATAAAACGTTTGCAGAAGGGCTAGGCCCAAAATTGGTTCAAGTATTTCAAGCGGCTACTGAGCTGGGAGAACTTACTCCTGAGATGCTGCTATAACTATAACTATAGTTACTCTACCAAAACCAGGGAAATCCTCAGACCAATGAGAATTTCCGACCAATATCACAATATGCAAAAATCTTGGCCTCCAGATTGGGTACGATCCTGCCTTCCATCATTAACGACGACCAAACAGGGTTTGTGATGGGAAGGCAGGGGCTAGACAACACCCGCAAATTGTCTCTTCTCATTGAGGACATGAGGAGGTCTGGCTCAGCTCTAGAAGCTGAAAAAGCATTTGACCGCCTGGGCTGGTCCTTCTTACGGCAAGTCCTGTTAATATTCGGCTTTCCACAACAATTCATCCAACAAGTATTTGCCCTATATTCTCAACCCAGAGCCCAAGTACTGCAGGCGGGATTTAAATCAGACCCTTTTGGTATAACAAATGGCACACGACAGGGCTGTCCCTTGTCTCCTCTGCTGTATGTGCTGGCCCTGGAGCCCTTGCTGATAGCCATTAGAACTCACCCTGGCATCAAGGGCACCAACTGGCATGGCAGGCAAATTAAAATCAGTGCATTTGCGGATGATATCCTACTATATGTCTCCCATCCAGATCTCTCCCTACCGTATATAATGCAACTTATCAAGGAATACGGGGATCTCTCCTATTACTCACTCAACACTTCCAAAACGCAGGCATTAGGGCTGCGCTTGGATCCACAGGTCCTCGCACAACTACGCAAAGAATACCAATTCGAGTGGAGGTCTAACGATATAAAATATCTAGGCCTGACGTTTACTAGGAAAGCCTCTGATATGTTCCCAACTAATTACATCAGGGTGTGGAATGAGTGCTTGTCTTTATTGCGGGGGTTGGGGAAAACTGTTCCTTACGTGGACGGAACGCATTGTGGCTATTAAAATGGCTATTAATGGCTATTAAAATGTCTATCTTACCGAAACTTCAATATGTGTTTAGAAACCTCCCGCTGAAGGTGCCACAATATTTTTTTAAAACCGTACAATCTAAGCTGCTTCAGTTTACCTGGGGTGAGAGACGAGCAAGAGTATCGTGCAACCTATTGACCGCACCAGTGCATCAGGGGGGAATGGCATTCCCAAACATAAAGTTCTATTACCAGGCTGCAGTAATTGCTCCCCTGTTGACACACCTGGAGAGGGGTAACAGACCACAATGGGTAACTTTAGAAAACCTAGCTATCAAACCCTTTCTTACCGCTAACCTGATATGGCTGCACAAACGAAGCAGACCAAAACCCACCTCCATACCTGCACAAGTACAGCTAGCATTGCAATTTCGGGACCTACACAGAAAGAAATTCGAGACAGCTAAACCACTCTCAATGGCAACACCCATAGAGGCCATGACATACTATATCCCAACTTTTCACGCATCGCCGTGGAAGGAGAGGGGAATCTCACACCTAGCTCAGGTTTATGAGTCGGGCAAGCTGCTGAGTTTTGAGCGCCTCCAGGCAACTCACAACTTGCCACACACCTCACAATATTCATACATTCAACTTAAATCCTTATTGCGGGCAGCTCATACAGATGATATAACAGAGGCTAAAAACACTGAAGAGCTTTCGATATGGGAACAAACAAGTCTCACAGGCAAAATCCCCCTAACTTTCAAACCATTTTCTGGATGCTATAGGCTTATCCTGCCGTGCCAGTACATATCTGGCTCTACGTCAGCGAGCCAATGGGAAATGGATCTTCAAACCTCCTTTACTGAGGGCCGGTGGTCCAGTATGATCTCCTCTGTTAGGAAGTTGATTAAATCCACTCCACTGATAGAACAACACCAAAAAACGATATATCGATGGTACATGGTCCCATTACATTTGCATAAATTATACCCCCTCACATCTGCGATGTGTTGGAGATGTAAGCAAGATAAAGTGTCAGTTCTTCACATTTGGTGGAGATGTCCACACCTAATCAGGTATTGGGAGGACATTCAAAAGATTATTGCTGAGGCCGCTGGTATTCAGTTACCCCTTGATCCCAAGACCTTTCTACTACTAGACATTCCCAGGGGAATACCCACAAACTCGAAGAAACTATTGTATCATGTCCTGCTAATGGCGCAAAAACTGATAGCAAGACGCTGGAAGTCAAGTGAGACCCCTAGCATCCCCAATCTCATTCAGGAAGTAGACACTCAATCCATGTATGAAACAAGTTTCTCTAAGGCGTACACTAGACCGAGCCACCTTAGCAACATGAGGGATCAGTGGAGGGTATGGAGATCATCCAACATACAACACTCAAGTCGTTAGGCATCTTAGCAGGACTTCACACTAGCCGCGGCTCGTGGCTTGGGGCCGGATACTAGGACATCTAACACATGGGTAATTTTAAGACGAGTTAGGTATTGGGAATTATGCTTGGATGAACGGGTTGAATAGAACAAGAGGTGTTAAGAGAAATCGGAATACTATGTACTGCTGTATCAATGCAATTACCTGTGTACAATTCTTATGTATACTCTTGGATAAAATATGATTTATTGTACCGTGACTGACCACCTCCACCCCCCCTCCTATTTCTTCTTTCTGTACCACACCCCACCTCCCCATACTCATCGGTTGTGTAAACCAATAAATTACACGTTTAAAAAAAAACAAAAAAAAACGATGTTACGACACACAGGTCTTTCTCCAGGTCAATGTACCTACATACAAAAGTCATATATATATAGGAAATAAAGTAGTGTACACACCAATCGTGAAGAAACCCCTGATTCCCTTCATGTGTACTCGAAAGTGAAAACCCGCAGTCACCTGACATGCCGTGGCGAAAACGTAGTGACATGTAGTTCGTTGCTAAGATACCAAAAAACAAATAGAATTTTACAATCGGTATTTCAATTTCTAGTGTATACCGGGCGTTAGAGTGAAATGAAGGATGGGTATACACCCTATATATGCGCATAGTTAGAATTAGGGATGAAAATGTGTTTAACATGGGAAATAAGTGAAAAAAAATAGTGTCATCATTATGGATGTGAGAAAATCCCAATATATTACAAGTGAAATAGATACTGGAAAGACCCAATATCTTACAGTGGAATATCCTAAAGACCCAGTGCTTTATGCGTTGCCCAAAATCCACAAGGACCCATTACGACCACCAGGGAGACCTATAGTCTCGGCTAGGGATGGCATACTCGAACCCATCACTAAATACATTGATACATTTATCAAAGACAGTGTTCTGGATCTACCCACATGCCTACGTGATACACAAGATTTCATGTCTAAAATTCAATCATCACCATCTGTTGATTCTACATCCCTACTGGTCACTATGTATGTCCAAAGCCTGTACACCATCATACCCCACACAGAAGGTGTGCAGGCTTTGAAGGATATCCTGGTCTAATCGACAATATATGAAGGACCGCCGATCGAATATTTGTTAGAATTCTTGACCATCGCACTTACTTGCAACTACTTTAAATTTGAAAAACAATTCTATCTCCAACTATCCGGAACTGTGATGGGGGTGGTGATGGCACCATCTTATGCCAACGCTTTCATGTATACTTTCGAACGTACCCATTTTTGGCAAAATTTGGGCGATATATTCAACACTATTATCGCTTTGTGGATGATCTATTTATGATCTGGATAGGCACGATTAAGGAATTGGAACAAATGATTATGGAGATTAATCAGTCACCAATACCTGTTATCCTGAGTTACCAATTTGATGAACACTCTATTCAATTCCTGGATGTTACCATCAATAAGAAAGATAACTTGGAATTCACCTTATATCGTAAGAATACTGACCGTAACACCCTCCTCTCCACTTCTAGCTTTCATGCACAACAACTCAAAAAATCACTACCTAGTTCTCAATTACTGAAAATATTGAGATACAATACAGAAACAGAAAAACAAGAAATCCTACTCAACGAGATGTGGCAAAGATTTCAAATGCAAGGGAATAAACCACATGTCCCTCAAATGGCCCAAACGAAAGCTCTTGAAATATGGAATCAAGAATAACAGAATGTCAAAACA